AGGTGGGCATGGATGTTAGCCCAGGGCCAGTCTTCCTCAGCAAAAAAAGGGGAGGATTGGCAGATGTTAGCACGGGGCTGATCTCCTCACAAAAAAAAAAAAAAGACAAAATTGTCCTATTTGCAACAACATGGATGGACCTTGAGGGTATTATGTCAAGCGAAATAAGCCAGACAGAGAAAGAGAAACACCGTATAATTTCACTCATATGCGGAAGATAAACAAATACACGGACAAAGAGAATAGATTAGTGGCTCCCAGAGGGGAATGGGGTTGGGGAGTGGGCATAAGGGGTAAAGGGGCACTTATATATGGTGACTGACAAATAATAATGTACAATTGGAATTCCACAATGTTATAAACTATTATGAACTCAATAAAATAAAAAACATATATATATAAGATTCTCTCAGAAAATGTATTTCATTTCTATAAAAATCTTTCTTTACAGTGTCTCAATGTTCATTTCCTACTAAACTTCTCAGTGTTCTTTAGACTTAAAAATATAGCAGAATCAAGCTCCTATAATCTGCCTTTTAATCCCACAATCCTGAAAGCTCAATCTCAAGGTCATCAATGACCTCTTAATCACCCAACAATATTACCCCCATTTTATAAATGTAAACACTAGGTTTTAAAGAAATCAAGATCATGCCCAATATCATTTAGCTAGTAAGAGGCAGAACCTGGATATGACTGACTCCTGCTGTCTGATTCTAAAATCCATAAGCATAATCTCTAGGCACACAGCCAAACATAACATTCTGTCTTCTTGGAACATAATAAATGCATTTGCTTTTTCCTTAATGTCTGTAACAGTGTTCTTAACTATTCCTATACATTGGTTTCTCCCTTTCTGTAAATGAGAGTGTTCCTAAAGGTACCTTCCTTCCTCTCTGCTCTTCTCTACACATTCCCTCCACTCTCAGGGCTTGAATTCATTTAACATGCATTTATTTTGTTGAGTCCATACAATTCCAGACAAGATGGAAAAACGATGGAAAAGAAACAGTCCCTAGCCTTAAAGGATTGACAGACTATTTGGGGAGAAAGACCTATAAGCAAGCCCAATACTATTTTCAAAAAAAAAACAAGTTTGAGTCTGCACAAACACAGAAGTGAATCTATGCCACACAGCACTGGTTTTCAAGCCTTTTCTGAGGAGGACTATATTTTTTAAAGAAATATTGTTTAAAATTTCCAAAATAGGATGAAAGACCTAGAACTTTCCTGAGCCACTGTACCCCTCCCACTACAAGCCATGTTTCTTTCTAAGACTCTTAAGAACATCGTTTGAAAACCACTATATTCTAAAATCTTAATAGTTTTGCCTTTCATATGTAGGTCTTTAATCTACCTGGAATAGATTTTTGTGTATGGAGTAAAGTAGGGCTCCAATTTGAATTTTTTCCATATGGATATCTAATAGTCCCAGCACCACCTATCAAAACGTCCCTCCTTTGCCCTCTGCTCTGTAGGAGCACCTCTAAAAAAAAAAATCAAGTTTCTGGATACAGGTGGAACTGAATTTGGGTTCTCTATTGTTTTTAATTGGTCTACCACTGTGCTAATACCAAACTGCTTTAATTACTATAGCTTTATATATAATAAATCAGGATATCTCATAGATCAAGTCTTCTCAGCTTGACCTGCTTCTTAAAAAGTATCTGGGCTATTCTTAGTCCTTTGCATCTCCATATGTATTTTAGAAAAGACATGTAATTTTGAGCTCTGTAATTTCCTGGCAAACTGGTAAAATAACCACAAAACAAATCTAGATCAGTGGTTCTCAACTGGGGCAATTTTAACGCCCCACCTCCCACCCCAGGGACATTGAGCAATGTCTGGAGACATTTTTGGTTGTTGCAAAGGGGGTACCACTGGCATTTAGTGGGTAGAGGCCTGAGAGATGCTGTTAACCATCCCAGAATGCACAGGACAACACCACAACAAAGAATTATTCCATTCAAAATGTTAATAGTGCCACTGTTGAGAAACCCTGCCCCACATAAATCAAGGGGCAAATTTGTATGGGTCCATTAACAGGTAGGGAACATCTACCAAAAATAATAATTTAGTTTTAGAAAAACTGAACTGCCATGTGCCAAATAAGATTTACCCCTATTCATTAAAAAAAAACATCGTATTATTTGCATATACAAAAAGGTTTATCTTCCTGTTCTTTATAGCAAGGGCATTTGCAGGAAGCTCATCGAAGGGGTTAAGTCTTTAAAGTACAAAGTTATAAAGTAACAAGATATATCCAGAATATATTTAAAAAAAAAAAAAAAAACCTCCTAGAAATCAGTAAGAAACAACCCAATAGAAAAATGGGCAAACCAACTTGAATAGGTAGGTCACTAAAGGGAATATTCAAATGACCAATAAACATATAAAAAGATGCTCAACCTCATTAGTCACCAGAGAAATACCAATTAAAACTCACGAGAACACCACACATGTACCAGAATGGCTAAAATTTTAAAAGACTGGAAATATCAAGTGCGAACAAGAATGCTGAACAATGTAACTTCCATATACTACTGGATGTAGGGCAGGGGGTTGCATAAACTGGTTCAACCACTTTGGAAAATGTTGGTAGTCTCTACTATAGCCGAACATATGCATACACTATGACCAGCAATTCCATTCCTAGGTATATATCTAATAGAAAATACCTATCTGCACCAGAATGAACAAGAATGTTCATAATAGCATTAAAAGCCTAAAGTAGAAGCCACCAAATGTCTAATAACTGTAGAATGGATTAATAAATTGTGATATATTCATAGAAGGAGATAACATACAGCAACAAGAACTACTACTATAGGCAACAACATGAATGAATCTCGGAAATACAATGTTAAGCAAAAGTACACAGACACAAGAGTACAGATATAATTCCATTTCTATAAAGATGAAAAACTCATCAATGGTGACAGGAGGGAGGATAGCAATTACCTGTGGAAAGAAAGGATAGTGACTAGAAAAGAGCAAGAGAAGGGCCTGTGGGGTGTTGGTAATGTCCTATTTTTTATCTAGGTGGTAGTTACACGAGTGTGTTTACTTTGTGAACATTCATCAAGCTATACACTTAAGATTTGTGCACTTTTCCGTATTTAGGTTATATCTTATTAAATAATTTACTTAAAAATATAAAGAATACAACCCTGATTTACCCTATCTGATCCTTCAAGAGAGTATTCTAAACAACCCTAACTCACAATAATGTTAAAATGCAAGTTGTGTATTTACTGACAACTGATTTTTTACAAAGGCACAAAGGCAATGCACTGGATAAAGGATAGCCTTTTCAATAAATGGTGCTGAACAATGAGATATCCATATGAAAAATAAATGAACTTGGATCCATACCTCACACCATATACCAAAAATAACTCAAAATGGCTCTTAGACCTAAAAGTAAAACCTAAAACTATATTTGATAGAAAAACACTTGTACTCAAAATATATAAAGAACTCTCAAAACTTAAAAATAAGAAAGAAAAACAAAAAACAGGCAAAAGATTTGAACAGACATTTCATACAGATGGCTAATAAGCACATGAAAAGATGCTCAACATCCTAAGTCATTAGGGAAATGCAAATTAAAACCACAAGGAGATACCACTATCCGCCTATTAGAATAGCCGAAAGGACTGTTGAGAAACAGTTTGGAAGTTTCTTTAAAAGTTTCTTAAAAAGTTAAACATAAGTGATCCAGACATTCCACTCTTAGGTATTTACCCAGAAAACTGAAAGCGTATGTCCACAACAAAGACTTACATACAAATGTTCACAGCAGCTTTATTTGTAATAATCTAAAACTAGAAACAACTCAAATATACATCAACAGGTGACTGGATTAACAATTTTTAGTATATCCATACAACAGAATATTACTCAGCAAATACAAAGGAACAAACTGTTGATACACGCAACAACATGGATGAATTTCAAAAGAATTATGTTAAGTGAAAGAAGCTAGACAAAATAAGCATAGAAACTATATGATTCCATTTATATAAACTCTAGAAAATGCAAACTAATCTATAGTGATAGAAAGCAAATCAGTGGTTGGTTGGGGAAGTAAGTCACAGAGAGGTGGGAAAGAGGGATAAGAAAGGGGCATGAGAAAACTTTTGAAGGTAATGGATATGTTCACTATCTTGATGCTGACTGAAAGTTTCATGGACGTACACCTATGTCAAAACTTATCATAGTGTACCATTTAAATAAATATAGTTACGTCAAGTATATTTCAATAAAGCTGTTTTTAAAAAAATACAGGTTGTATATAAATATTATAAACCAGAGTTCTTATAATTAGCTCAAAATCAATTCCATTCATTCATACAACAAATATATTTATCTAGCACCTACTGTATGCCAAGCACTCTGCTAGGTTCTAGGGATACAATGGTAAGCAAACTGACATGGTCCCTCTCATGGAGTATATAGTCTGCCAGGGGAAGCAGAGATTAATAAAAGATGCACAACAGACACGTGGATAATAAAAACTATGACAAGTGCTGTGAAGGAGAGATACACAGTGAGATGACAGAAAATAACAGGGAAACCAAATCTGATCTAACAGAAAGGTCAGTATGGCTCCCTCAAGGAAGTGACATTTAAGCTGACACCTAATAGAAGAGTAGGATAACAAGTTGAAGATGTAACTTTCCTCAGAAGAGACATTAACACAAGCAAAGGCTCTGAGGCAGAAGAAAGCATGACGACATGGATGGACCTTGAGGGTATTATGCCAAGTGAAATATGTCAGAGGGAGAAGGCCAAATACCGTATGATCTCACTCATAAGTAGAAGATAAAAACAACAACAAACAAACACATAGAAACAGAGATTGGATTGGTGGTTACCAGAGGGGAAGGGGGGAGGGAGGAGGGTGAAAGGGATGATTTGGCATATGTGTGTGGTGATGGACTGTAATTAGAATTTGGGCGGTGAACATGATGTAATCTATACAGAAATAGAAGTATAATGATGTACACCTGAAATTTACACAATGTTATAAACCAATGTTACCACAATAAAAAAATAAAATAAAATAAAAAGAAGAAAGCATGACCCTTTGAAGGAATGGAAAGAAAGTCAAAACGGCTAAGGGTCAAAACAGTGTAGACAACACTACTGGTCACCTCTCTAGTATCTATTCCATCTCCTCTTCCTCACTCCTAACAGAATCACACTTGGGTTCCAGCAGCCACCGTCCTCCACACATAGTCATGTGCTTTAGAGGAAGATAACTCCATTCGTGATTTTAGGAAGTGGATACTGTTTAGACTTAAGTCAATCATGGCAACCTCTTTTCTCCCTGCCAGTGATTAGTTAAGGAATGGCACGAGTGAAAGCAGGAAAAGAAGTTATTGCATGCTCTAAACAAGAGACAGTAGTTTGGATCGGGGAGTTATCAATGGAGATAGAGACTTGCACGGAGAAATAAGGTAGAGCAACGTGTACAGGATGTCTCCCAGGTTTCTGGATTAGGCAGATAACGATCAATCCCTTCCATATAGTCAAAGCCAAAGAAATGTTTTTTAAAAATTAATAATCTTATGTTATTCTTAATATATTTCTCTTAAATAAATCTAGTTAGAACTATTTAAGGATCATATTTAAAACATACCTTATCCTCAGGTAGGATACTGGATTCATAAGTTCATGGAAACTTATGAAGAATGAATGAGGCTAATTAGATTTTGTCTTACAATACAAATCAATATGTTTTATAAAATTCTAACATATAATTAACAATACTGCCTACAAGTAACATCAACTTCTGAATATCATTTATTTTGCCTTGCCTGCTTCAAAAAATGATTTAAGCTAGGAAAATGTCCAAATAAATTAAAAGTCAAGCCAAGAATAAAACAGTCCAAGGATTTCTGACCACTCTTGCATTATCTAAAAATAATTCCAGAGAAATTAGGTAGAGGTACATAATCAATTATGCTAATCAAATGTATCAAATTAGGTCTCATAACAACAGTAATGAAGGCTCCTATTACAGATACCAACAGACCCAGGCAAAAATATAAACTACCTTGACAAGTTGATGAAGTGCCATTTCAGAAGGTGGTGTACTTGGACTGCTGAAATAATGTGAAGTTCCTTGGCTCGTGTCATTGTTTGTAAAATTCTTTGAACGGCTGTACAACAACATAACAATGGTACTTCAGGTTTTTTACTGAAGCTTTCATCCACTGGCTTCCCTAAAAATGAAAGAACCTCTATTTATAATATTTCTAACTAAAAAGCCATTAATCTTCCTCTGCAGCTAGGGTGAACAACCACCTCAATTTGCCCAGGATTGGGAGGTTTCCCAAGATGTAAGATTCAGTGCTAAAACCAGGAAAGTATCTAGCAAATCTGGACAAGTTGGTCACCCTATCTGCAGCATCAAATTAAGACAGAAGAGAAACACTTATGTCAGAAACATTTATAGAGAAGTTATCGATTTACATAATTTACAAAAATGTAATAGTCAAAGATTAATAATGTAATAAAGGTACAACCACTCGGGTATTCATTTATATTGAGATTTATTAAAATATCAAGCAAGGAGGATTAAAACAAAGACCTAAATTATATTCTTTTTTTTGTTTTTTGCTGAGGAAGATTCGCTCTGAGCTAACATCTGTTGCCAATCTTCCTCTTTTTGCTTGAGGAAGATTTGCCCTGAGCTAACATCTGAGCCAATCTTCCTCTATTTTGTGTGTGGGCTGCCACCACAGCATGGCCACTGACAAGTGGCATAGGTCCGTGCCCAGGAACCAAACCTGGGCCGCTGAAGTGGAGTGTGCCGAACTTAACCACTAGGCCACGGGGCTGGCCACCCCTAAAGTATATTCTTAATTACTGCTATTTCTTTAAATGAATTATTCTGGATAAAAAGTACTTTATTATATTTTTTTCAGGTCTCAATAAGCAACCTGAATATATCAACCAACTACTTACCATGAAGAGATTGTTGCCACGCTAAAGCAGAACAAAGCAAGTCTAAGCTTTTCCCGCTTCCTGTAGGGCTCTCCAACAAACAATGCTGCTTACTATTTAATCCTCTGACAATCTACTGACACAAAAACAGTAAAAAAAAATCAATGAACAATTTACTTCATTAGGGTTTCTCTCCAACAGAGGTACAAATACAACAAGAAGTAAGGTTGTACTTCAGGGAACATAGCAACAGCAGAAGGCAGAACTAGTATTCACTTAAATCTAGACCTTATTCCTTTACACCTCTCCCTAAAATTATGTTGGACTTAAAAGTATATAAGCACAAAAGAAATGAAAAAAGCAATTTGTGCCTTAATGATGCAAGTACCATCATTTCTGTAAAACTAGAATACACTAATATCTTTGATGAAAACTTAATGGGGGGGGGGCAGCCCAGTGGCGCAAGCGGTTAAGTGCGGGTGCTCCGCTGCGGCCTGGGGTTCGCCGGTTCAGATGCCTGGGGTTCGCCGGTTCAGATCCCAGGCACGCACCGACACATCGCTTGTCAAGCCATGCTGTGGCGACGTCCCATATAAAGTGGAGGAAGATGGGCACAGATGTTAGCCCAGGGCCAGTCTTCCTCAGCAAAAAGAAGAGGACTGGCAGATGTTAGCTCAGGGCTGATCTTCCTCACAAAAACAAAACAAAACAAAACAAGGGGGGATACTGCTAGGGGAGTGTAAATTGCTACAACCACTTTGTACAGAAATTAACAATTTCTAGTAAAGTTGAAGATACCCAATACCAGCAAATCCAGTCCTATGTGCATATCCAAAACCTTTCCCACACGAACACAAGGAAACATGCATAAGAAAGCTCATAGCAGCATTGTTTATTGTTTATTGCAAAAGAATGTAAACAACCTAAATGTCTGTCAAAAGGAAAATAGATTAAAAAATTCTGGTATATTCATACAGTGGAATACTATACAGAAATTAAAATGGGTTAGCAATCAATAGGGCTACATCTTAAAAATAATAAGCAAAAAAAAATCAAGTGCTGAAGAAAAACAGGTATAGTATCGTATCATTGTGCAAAGTTTAAAAACATGTAAAGTAGTACTCTATATTGTTTATGGATATATACATATGCAGTCAAAGTATAAAAACATGGCTAGGAAAGAAAAAGAATAAATCCAGGATGCTAGTAATCTTGTTACTTGTAGACAAGGTATAAAGTAAATATGACAAAATATTAAGATTTAACAAAGCTGGAAAGTTGGTTTACTCGTTTGTATATTAATTTTCTATATGATTGAAATATAGCAAAAAAATATGGTGAGAAATATAGTACTCTGCGTAAAAGACAGTAAATACTTTGTAGAAAGCAGTAATTCCGTAAGTAAATAGAAGTCCCAAATGAGCTAAGAATACTTTTCAGAATAGTCTCCTTTGCCTCCTAATCATATACAGTTTAGTAGTGATTAGTATTATTTTTCCAATGGTTAGATGTTCTTCAATGAACCCAGCAAACATTATCAATCCATTTACTATCTGCGAAAATCAATGTAGTCACAGATTCAGTGTATGTTATGAATTATAAGCATCTGTATCTTCATAAAGACTTAACTGCTGAAAAATACTTACAGAATTCATCATAGCAAGCTGTGATGGATAAGCTTTACAAGGAAAGTTAATCTTCACCCCACCAATTGCATATTCAGACCACTGAAGACATCATGCTTTCTTGTTTACTTAGATTCCTAACTGCAGCAGAAATGAAAATCAATATTGAAACAACGCCATTCAAAGAAAACCAGATATCCAACACTAGGACAGAAGTCTAGAAATAAAAATTGGAATTAATAAATGTATAAACAAAACAAATGGAAAGAAAAGAATTTCCTAGTCTTAACCATCACAGTGGTTGAGAACATGTCACGGAATCTGACAATTCTGGATTTGTAGCCCTACTCTGCCAAAGCTGTGGATCAGGAGTTAGAAGTACAGGTGCTAGATCAGGTTCTGACAACAACTCAGATATGTTCCCTTGATCATGTCACTTCACTTCTCTAGACTAAGATCCTTATCTGTAATAATCCCTAATTGAAAAACTGTTGTAAGGGAGAAAATGCCTTGGCACACAGTAGGTGCTTGATAATTCTGATTTAAAGGT